ATATATATATATATACATATATATATATATATATATATATATATATATATATATATATATATATACATGCATCATTGTGTGTATGTGTATTCTTAAATCTTAAAAGAAATTGTGTCATATATTACATCTACTTATTTCTAACTGTTCTCATACAACTAAATATATCAATAAATAATTAAATAAGATGAATTGTATACTTAAAAAAATATATTACTTACCAAGTACCCAAAATACAGCTGCATGTGCACCAACTAAGTAAAATACAGGCAGCGAACAAATTCCAACTAAGGAATATACCTGTGCTAAAGTCAGTTTCATATTTAATATTGTTAGCTCTTGTTTAGAATGCCGCTGAGAAAGCTTGTAGCATATTCCAAGGGACGCAACAACAGTTAATAATAATAGAGGTGAAGTTATCCTAAAAAAATTAGATCTGATCATATATCAGAATTTATATAGCTAATGAAAAATACTTAGAGGTGATACTCTTCTGATGTTATATATATATATGTTAAAGAATGTAATAACGTATTTCTTACAAGCAATAGATGACAAGCCCAACAAATACAAATAGATAATTGCTTTGAAAGTATTCAATGTTCTTCACAATTCGTTTACTCAATCTTGTTATATTAGGAGGTGGTCTAATATTGTTTGTATTGACAAATAATGACCATGGTCGAATGTTAGCTTTTCTGTGTTCAATCCAGTTCTGGGCTTGAGGATAACCTATTTGCTCAAGTGGCAGTTGAGGCAGTTGAAGAAATTCAAATCTGTAAAGTAATATAAATAAAAAAATCAATTAAAAAATGCATGACATAAAAAAACTACACGATATAAGGCCTGTTCTTTGTAGCTGCACTGCTGAACTGGTGCAATATATTGAAGTGAGACAGATATACGTTTTCTCACTCTAACTTATTGCACTAGTTCAGCAATGCAGCTACAAAGAACAGGCTTATAATCAATGAAATCACATATTGTGACGTTCGCTTGTAGGTTAGCTAATGATATCTCAGAAAAAATATGTTACCCATTTGTAGTTTTATATTTTTGTGGCGGAACCTGCATTTCCCCTACCGGAACTTCTACTTTCACCATGATTTCCTAAGGGAAATTTAAACAATATTACACAAAATTAATTTTCTTCACGAAAATTTGATACATTCAATACAAAAGGTGCGTTTGGAAAACACTATCAGTACCATTTAACGAGAATGATCCACTAGACGCTGTAAATGTTTTAAAATGCTTGAGAAAAGAACATGATTGGTCTATACGGCGTTTCAAAACATTTGTAGCGTATAACGGATCGTAGTTGTTTTCCGTAAATCTGTACTGTAAATCTGAAATGCGAGCTAGCAGATGACGAACTTGATCATGTGACCGCCAAATAATTTTGCGTGTAGTATATATTTTTACAATAATGACGATGGAAACGGAATTTAAAAAATTGCAAGAGTTTATCAATATGCAAAGTAATTGTTTCTCGTTTTTCTAATATAATATTTAAAATACATTCCTGATGTGGATTACGATCCAAAATCCTATTCGGCGAATAGAGTAACATTCTTAAGCAATCACGATAAAGAAATCTTGGTTCTTTTTGTTCTGATTAATCAATTAAGTCCCGATCTACAATAGGTGTAGTAAACTTTAAGGCCAAGTTCGACAACATCCGTTTAATTTTAACTACCAGTTAAGTCTCAATAGTGATTGGTTAATTCTGATTAATTCTTCTTAATGTCAAATGCGATTGGTCAAGTCCAATAGAATAACCAGCCAATTAAGTTAACTGAAGATTGTGGAACTAGGTCTAAACCGTAAGAAATTGATCAATTACGATTGATTATTCCTTTATAATTCGACGGTGATCAGTCAATTTCTTAAGGCTTACTAAACCTATTGTAGATCGGGATTAAAGGTGCGGGTCCAATGGTCCGTAACATATCGTATTCATAACCATAAACAAAATCGAGTCGTGATTGGTCGTGATTATATGGGAACAAAGCAAGCCAAGGCTGAAGCTTGTTGATTCGTTAAAATCTAATCTTTAATTGTCAATTGTCAATCGCCAATCGCTAGTGTGATTTGGCCTTTATGGATACGGATATGTTTACGGACCATTAGACCCGCACCTTAACCGTCGTTCTACATTAGTTGCAAGTCGATTGCACTCATGTTGCGACAGCTAATCAGAAGAGTCAATAGCACTATTGATGCTTCTGATTGGCTGTTGCAATAAGAATTGCGTCTGCTTGCGATCGGCTTGCAACTAATGTAGAACGACCTTTATATGTACTAAAAATTTTCAGGAAAGTTTTCCTCAAAAAGGACACTTTGGAACGTAGCCCCTATTCTTGAAATAGTAGCGTATCCGTAAGTTTTAATGATACCATAAAATAGCTGCGCAATGAAAATTACGTATACGCAAAAATTTCAAGAATAGGGGCCCTGGATCTTTTGGAAGTTTTGTCACGCATGCGCAAACAGCCCACCGCGTCTGGAGCGCATCCTGGCCGCCCGTCGACAAAACGTTTGTAAGATGCGCGCGGATTGGCCACTGTAGCCGGCCATGATCCCGACGCGTTTCGTACGCCATAACGAACGTGAGGCATGAGGCGTGCGCCGTACGAAAGATCAGTTTTGAATAAACGTGCTCAATAGAGTATTAATTAAAGTGTTGCGTTCTATCAGTTTTCGACATATATGCCCCCGCGTCATCGGGTGGTTTTCACGGGTTCGCGCTGTTCTTGCTGCCCGTGATATCGCGTCACGCTTGCCCGTGACGCGAAATTCTTCCCACATCGTGTGTGTGTGTGTGTGTGACGGGAGAAAAAGAGAGAGAGAGAGAGAGAAAGAAAGAGATTAACACGACGGTGAGATACGCGGCGATTGGATGGACGTCGTACAGAAGCTACACTTCGAAGCGTGCAACATGCCGCAATATGAGGAATTGAACGTCAGCTGTCGCACCAACAGCTCCGGCTGCGATGTCGACGATCTGTTGGACACCTCCGTGGAGGACTTCTGCTCGCCGCTGCAACCGCGTAAACTCTTCTTCAACTACATGGAATCCGGTCCGGAACCCAGTCTACGGACTAACAATAATAACAAGGTTGCTCCGGCTGTTATGACAGGTAAGACAGGCTCTCATTTTGTAGATGCATGCTCAGTGTTTCGCAACGTCTCGACCTCATTCTCGTGATGTATCGCAACTTTGAATTGACACATACACACACATAAGGTCTGTTCTTCCTCTTCTTCAATATTTTGAACGCCCGAGCTTTGTTCAGATTGCTAATCTTCGTTCTGTTCTTCCTAGCTGAACTGCCTGAATTGGTGCAAACAAAATATATTTGTTTTACTCCAACTTATTGCATCAGTGTGCATCAGTTCAGTTAAGAAAGACAGACTTATGGCTTCGTATATTTCGCGTTGAATGTACGTCAGTTTGTGAATTATTTTTCTATGTGCGTCGCGCGAAAGAAGAGAGAGATAAGTCAAGCTAATCTCAAATATACATTGAAGCAAATATTTTCTATATTGTATATTTTCTGTATTTTCGGTTTTTTAAGGCGATAAAAGCGTATGTTCGAAATTCAGGGAAACAGGCTTATTATTTGAATCTTGTGAAATTATATCTTTTCAATCTGGCATATCAACAAACAAGATACAGAACTGAATATTACTGTACAGATAACAGACTTTTATATCAGTTATAAGTAGTATCATATTTAAAAATGATCCTATCTGGAACTATAATTAGATATAATCTATATTTATGCTGTACAAGAACCTCATTATTAATTTGAAAATTATTCTGAGGATAAGTTATTTTAGTAATTATATTATTACATGTATCTGCCAGTTCTTGTTTTCTAATTTCTACTTTAATATCTCAAGCATTATGTAGAATATTTACTTGAATGTAGTGCATGAGGAATGGCGATGAGTAGTGTATGATGTATGAAGATAATTGATATTATATATTTATACAATTTCTTTGCATCATGCATATTTATTTTCTTTAGTGCTTAATTCTTAAGCAGATGTATAACGACACTCCATACTGTAAAATTGATTTTTCTGAAAAATTATATGTAACGTGTTTCTCTTTTCTATTGTGTCATTTTATGTTATTATTATTTCTGTTCATGTTTTTATATTTATATGTTTCTGTTTAAAAGGTTTTAAATTAATATTTTTTGTTTTTAATTTTCAAGTTATGACTAGTCACAGTTTTATATAATATTAATTTAGGAATGCACAAAATTCTAATGTTATATTTTATTACTTGATATATTTTATTTCTTTCTCTATAGGATATTTCTAATTTTTTATCATAATTTAACTATATAAACAAAATAATAAGTAATAATAATAAATAATTATAAATAATTTCATGATGCGATATTCAGTACCACGCACACACGTTTAAGAATTAATACAATCTCTGAAACAATGATTGTAAATAAAATTATGGCTTGATTACAATCATTTTTATTTTCGTAATTTATAAAAAATATAACAGAAACATACTTGTTTTATAAAATAAATGTAACCTTTGTATTAAAAAAAGTAATGAAATCTTTGTACAAAAATAAATTGGTATGTATAATGAATAACATGTCTTGTTTCAGTTAAAGTTCCTTAATAAGATTTCAGTTATATATACATTTACATATAAGGACTCATATTCTGAACTTTCTTTTATTGTCAAAAGTACACTTAAAAATGGCCTATTAGGAAGTTTCAAAGTACTTCAGTAGAAAGTTTATAAGTTATTTTTAGAGACACTTTTACTGGTAAGAGAGAGTTCAGAATGTGTGGGCTAAAGAAAATATAAAAAAGATTAATAAGCAATGCTTGTGTAGATATCTCATTTATATATATATATATATATATATATATAAAAGTAACATATATTACATAGAATTGTTTGTTTTAAAAACAGAATGTTCTTTTCAATCTCTGATTAATTGTGAAATATTCTACTAATTGATTGTATTCTTTTATAATAACTAAAGGATCATCTATATCTGGAAAATGTTTACTTGCAGGTACTGCAAGCATTAAGATACCTGTTCATGAAAGTAGCAGTTCTCTGGCATCTAGTCCACCATATAAGCGTGTTCGTGCATTACGTTTATTTGATTCACCTGCAACCCCAAAAACTTTAATGGAAAAGAGCGTGATGCATACCCCGTTTATTCCGAAATGTAATAGGCTGTTCTCTTTAGAGAAACCAAGGCCATGTATTCATCCAAGTAAATCTGAAATAAATTTTCCTGCTGCAAATGTAAATCCATTTACACCTAATGGTATGTTACTAGCAGCAAGGAAAAGAACCAGATCCAAACGTAGTCTCAATAGGTAAACATTCTATTAATATTTTACTTTTATTCACTAATATTTTTTATCGTGCATTATTGCTTTTTAACATAATATAGCAAGAAAAAAATTCTTTACCAATAAAAATCATATTAAATTTGATTTAAGTTACAAATTACTCTGTTATTGTCGAGTAGAGGATTCTTTAAAAGGCAAGGCAACACAAGATAAAGTCAGACAATAAGATAAAATTTAAAACACCTTTTCCTATCACTATTCATGTAAGATAAGAGAACAAAAATAAAATTATAGGGTAGAAAAACTTCAAATATTTATGAAAAACTAAATTAAAAAAGAAAACTAGTTTAGGTTGTGTTAGATTATATGCTCTTAAAATGAACGTACAGAGGAGGGCAGAGTCCTTTCCCCATGCACATGTTCACTGGTTTTAGATATATATGTTGTAAAAAAAATCACATTCTTTCATTTAATATTTTTTAATATTTTTATCATAATCAATGAATGGCGATTGGAATCTTTGGAAGGTGATTTAGAATCTTAATCTTGCCGATATAGACCTAGATTACTTGAAAGGAAGTCCTTTTACTCTAATGCTAATAAGATAAGAACAGAATGGACAAACGTTTCTTTTAACTCATTAATGCATTATCTTTTTGTGAAATTAGCTTGTCAGACCTAGAGATACCAAAGTTCGATCTTGCCGACTCCGAGGATTCCGACAATGATATCGAGCAAGTGACGAAACGCGTGGCGCTGCAGACCTCGAATATAACCCGTTATCACCAAGAGTTTCATGAACTTGGCCTGATCGGGACCGGCGAATTCGGTTCTGTTTACAAGTGCATCAATCGGCTGGACGGCTGTACGTATGCCATCAAGAAGAGCATCAAGCCGGTCGCGGGCAGCATCAACGAGAAGAACGCGCTGAACGAGGTATACGCGCACGCCGTGCTCGGGAAACACCAACACGTAGTGCGCTACTACTCCGCCTGGGCGGAGAACAATCACATGATCATCCAGAACGAGTATTGTAACGGCGGTAGCCTGGCGGACGTGATCGCTCGTCTGCAGACGCAGAAGATACACCTGTCCGAACCGGAGCTGCGCCAGCTGCTGCTGCACGTAGTGGAGGGCCTGCGATACATCCATAGCATGCAACTGGTGCATATGGACATCAAACCGGGCAATATTTTCATTTCCAAGGAGAAACGATTGCTGGCCGTGAACTACGACTCCGCCGACGATGGATTCGACGAGGAGGAGACCGTCGAGGAAGAAATAACCTATAAGATCGGTGACCTTGGCCATGTAACGTCTATCAACAATCCACAAGTGGAGGAGGGCGATTGTCGTTACCTGCCGACGGAGATCCTGCACGAGGATTTCGCTCATCTGCCCAAGGCCGACATCTTCGCCTTGGGACTGACTGTTTATGAGGCAGGCGGCGGCGGGCCCCTGCCGAAGAATGGACCCGCGTGGCACGAAATCAGGCAGGGAAATTTGAAGGAATTATCGCATTACAGCCGCGATTTCAATGGTTTACTGAAGGTACGTTCTCGATCGAAAGTTTTACTTCTTAATTTTTACTGATAGCTTTTTTACGATAAGATGACGGTAGAATCTAAGATGATTGAAGGCTATTTTCCTGCGTATGATCAGTAATTTTGACTATCTGCGATTCAAACTATTCTCGACCTGTGTCCTTAACGGATCCGTGGAAATTTACCTCTTTTAAATCTATTTACTCCGCGACGCGTGATAATATCGCGTAGTTTGCATTTATTTGAATATTTCAGATTGGTCTAACATAGAAATACATTTACAGTAATATATTTATATTGAGTATATATTACTAATGAATCAAAAGTTGGTTGAATCGACTAGAATGTGCGCGAGACAAACTTGACATAAATTTTATGAAACCGCAAGAATTTAACATAAATACATCAGCGAATATTTTTTACATAAATTATCACGTAATTTTTTAAACACGTGCGTGCATGCTTTGAAAATATCGTAGTAAAGCTGTTTAAAATACAGTTTAATGCTGTTGAATTATGATTCATTATCAAATATTTTCTTATATTTATAGTGGCACAAATTGTGTTGAAGAAAATAAGTAAAGGATATGAAATAGTCTTTTTTCTGTTTTTTTATCCTGTTTTATTAATATTAATTATTTTATTGTGCATACTGCTTAAAAATTCTTTGTACTATCATCTTTTCGTTATTTGCAGCTGATGATTCATTCCAATCCGGAAATGAGACCATCCGCAATATCACTGATACAACACCGAGTTCTGTGTCCTCTCGGCAATAAAACCAAAGCACAATTACGAAGAGAATTGAACGCAGAGAAAGTGAAAAATGAGATTTTATCGAAGCAGCTTCAACAGGCGGCAAAGTGCCTAAAAACTTTAGCGTCGCCTAATGTCGCCGCTATCAACACGATGAACGCTGGAGGTTACAAGCTGCGACCGACACCCACCAGAACGTCATCCCGTATTGTGGGTAAAAGGGTCAATCGTAGTAGTAGCACTACAAACTTTTGAAGGAAAAGCCTTTTGTGTTGAGATTGTGGTATAGACAAACGGAATAAGAGATAAGGTATTCGGGGAGCAAGCAGGATTTCCCGAGACGCCTTGATATTGTGATATCGTATTAATTCTAGTTTGTAAGTATGATCACTGATACGATAATAAGACGCTGATGTTATGCAGACGGGATAAGTAAAAGCAAGTGAAAAATTGCATGTAAATGAATTTAGATAATTATTGCAACACGATATTTGCACGTGTACATTTTCACAAAGTGCATCTGATATATCTTCACATAACTATATTTTCAGGTGTATTATGTTATGATTACTTGAAACTGATACAATGCTTACAGTATGAGATTTAGTAGAGATTTTTTTTCTTTTCATCTTAAAAAATTACAGATTTATAATTATGCTCATGCCTTTTTTACATTTTATGACAATAGTCAGTATTGCACTGTAAACATAACTCTTGGACGTCGCGTTTACTGTCTTCTCCTCGTTGCTCGTGCGTTAGAGCTTCTACAGATGCGTGTCAGTAATTCTACAAATATATAGTAGTGATAGAAACTTTGTAAAGTTTCAGCACGGGAGAGATACGTACACACTCACGTGCTGATGCGTGCTGTTCGCGGACCAAAGTTTTTATCACTGATATACAGATGCACCTACGAGAGAAAGTATGTACAAACATTAAACGGCTTATTCTAAAGCGCAAATGGCGAGCAGGAGACAATACGTGATATTCGACAATTACTTCTAATTCCGGGCACTGCTTTATTATCAATGAAATTTTGTTTCTTTTTTCACTTTATTTTCTTTTATATAAATAGCAATGCACAACTGGACAAATACGTTTCAGTTGCATTGATATCAACAAAAATTATTCTTATATATTCATTCTTTAGACATTCCTGTTGCTAATTGTAATACTTCTTTTTTTTTACAATCTGTGCAACGTCATGTGAACTATCTTGTACACGGAGCAAGTTTTATTGTGTATGAACATAACAAACCTGACTTTCGAGTACACATCTACCCGTTGATATTAACTGTTTATTTCATTCAGTGTACTACCAAAAATAAGGGAAACGTAATCTTCTTTGTCCTTAAGATGATGTAATTTAAGGATTAAGCGCGAAACTTCAGCTTGACGAATATATTTTTCTATTGCAATATGTGTTTTATAGAATGCGTTATTTATTATCTAGCTATTCAACGGTACTGTGTCTTTTCTTATTATTATTATTACCCATCTTTTGTAAAATTAATAGTCTTCCATTGCAATGTCATGCATACACCCATCGGTCACATAAATGATATAATATAAAAGAAAAATTTTGTATTAGTTCATTATTCGTAATTCTCAATTTTCTCTGCTTAACGAAAAAATATCAATTGTTAATCATTTAGAGTCATTCCAATTATATCGTTTTTCTCATATCATAATGCAGAATCAACGTTCCTCGTCATTATTATATTAGCATTTAGACCGACATGCACGACTGTTATATTTTACTGGTTGAGACTGCAAAATGATTTTATCAAATGATTGATTTATACATATGTAATATCTAACTCTGCTGAAAAGATCGTAATATTTGTTTTCGCGGAATTGAGTAGAATAACCTAACTAACATATAAAATCATAAGTGTGTGATTCAGCATGACATTTCCACTGAAAAGAGAAAGAAAAAAATTTTAAGTTTACTTTTATAATATTTTATAGTAACTTAATCATTGCTTAGCATGCTCTAGAATTCTTATTCTACAAAGTAGGCTAAACAAGCGTTACAGATTAATATCTCAGAAGAAATATGTTATTGGAAAAAAAAATAAACAAAAGTTGTGAGATTTTGAGAGGAACATAAGATAATACTATTATTATGACAATAAAATTGTTTTTCCTAAGTTATTTTTGGATTAATTTCTATTTTTTAAAGAGAAGAATGTGATTCGTTTAATTCGTAAATCGATTCACAAGTTAAGACAGAAGGTCATTCTGTTATAAAAACTGTATGATTTTATTAAAAAAAATAAAAATTGGTCTTGAAATAAACTTCGAAAAAATATTTCACCATCGCAGTGACATTACTATCTTATGTTCTCCTCGAAATCTTATAACTTTTACCTGAAATATTTATTTCGAATATATTTCTTCTGAGATGTTAGTCTGTAATGTTTTGATTGGTTCAATCTGTATATTTAACATTATATCGGTATTTTAAGTTATATGTATAAAATACGTAACATATTTTATACATATATATTTAGAGTAATCTCGATGTGTGTGTATAATAAATCAGTGTTCTTTTTTTTTATTTTTTAGTTTGTTCAGCACTTAGGTGCCATACAATTGCTATCAAGAAAGTAAACGGAAAAATTAGAAAACTAAAAATCTGTTTCGCTAGTTTTAAATATGTACTGTCGTCATCCACTACATACTATCATTCTCTTTCAAATTCAAAGTATATTTATTCAAATATTTTTATATGTGAATTCTATTTCCAATCTTGTATGTGACAGATAGATAGAGTTCTAATATTTTTTTATATTATATATTTTGCTATTTTTCGCAATTGTTGAAGCTTCTATTCTCGTAACAGAGTGATTATTAAGAATATATTACAAAGAATGAATGTATTGTTCAAAAAGACACTCGTAAAACTTATTTGACGGAAGTTCACAATTAATTATTTTTCAAAGAAGGTGCTGTATTTTCTGTGTATTATGATTTAATATATACGTAACGCGTTTTGTTACTTTTCTAGATTATAAGGTACATTGAAATATCATTACTTTAAATTATTGATAAGACTTTTCTTTTAATTTTATTCATTCTTACGAATATATAGAACATATAAATTAACTTAATTGCGTTTCATTGCCGATTATTATTAAGTAACAGATTTGACGTATTTTCTATTTGTATGATGATTTGATGATATCTGATAAAATAGAATTCTTATCTTTTATTTTCTAATAAAAAAACATAGAGAGATGAGATTTGCTAAATTTTATAGTTTATCGGAAGTAATTACACCAAATGTAAAAACGGTACATAAACCTCATGTATGATTACACTTAAAGACTTGGGCGGCACATTTAGTTTTAAGACGCTATAGAAAGTTACAATTTTTTGTATGAAGGCACGTTAATAAGCGATTTAATAAGTGAAGAACATGTCTTTCTACAATATATGACAAGAAACAAGGTTGAAGGAATTAGCATGAATGTGTGCCTGTTTACCATGTTTCTTAAGCAGACTGCAAACTGTTATTCTGCTAACCGTACTATTATTATTGTCACTATTAATTATTAACTGCTATTAATTATTACCACACTTATTATTATTATTATAAATAATAATAAACTGTTACGATTATTTCCCGTTTTTTAAATTTCTTTCATGCAATCACTAATTACGATTGTTCTAGTTTTTAAAATTTCTACTAGCTTTAATTTTTACTATCTCATATTTTAATTGATATTGAAACACAAGAAAACTTTCGAGTTTTTTTTTAAATAACTAAGACGAATATTTGCAATCGGATTTTATATTTAAGAGAAATGTCAAGTTTATCTCTTCAGATACTCAGTAACCAATGAAATAATCCGTATATCATCTAAAGATAAAATTAAGATGTTCTTAAGTATAAGATCTGATTACAAATACTGGTCTAACTGTACGTAGCACTGACACAAATAAAACAATTTTACCGATAGCACAGAAAAGTAAGTTGGATGTATTTTACATTTATTTCTTCAAAAGAAACGTAAAAAAAACTGTTCTCAGATTATTCTTCAGACCATCTGTAATGTAAGGTTTAAATCGGATCTTCTATTTTAAATTGACTTAGGTTCCATTTCAGATATTTCGTAGCCAATGAAATGATCCGTACACCATCTGAAGATGAACATAAAGGCCCATCTACAATGGCCGTAAAATATGGCGGTAAGAAGTAAGAATAAGAAATTGACCAATCATAATCGATTATTTTGGGCCGTAAAAAGAATAGTCGGCTATGATTGGCCAATTCTTTCGTTCACTGTAGATGGGCTTTTATGAAATGACTTCTTCCATGTTTAAATTAAAAACCGGAAGCTATATATTTTGAAGGACTTCTTCTCCCGTCCGGTACTGTCAACAGTTCAAACAATTTTAAATCTTAGCTCAGAGTATCCATAAAAGTTAAAATGAGCGGGAATTCGCCGGAATCAAACACAACAAGTTACTTTCAGAGGTTACGGCAACAAACACATAAAATCGACAATGGTATCGATAGACTATCTGAGATTTGGAAAACGCCGCATCTCATGATCGGTGGATATGGTGAACGTACCGCCGAGATAGATACACATATGAAGGAACTGTCGGAGTCTATTTATGGTATTAACGTAAGTGTCGTTGGAAGTATGTAAATATCCAGTATCAAGCACTTCTCTCTCTCTTTCTTTCTCTCTCTCTCTCTATCTTTAAAAGTTTTTTTAAACTAATTAACAAAATACAAAAGTTAGTTTTTGTAGAAAAATTTGTGTCTAGAATATAGTTTATATATAAAACATCTTTATTTTTATATGTTTTTTGTTTTTAATAGACAGCTTTCAAATGTTGCTTTTATTACAGAAATTATTCTTAGCATAATTTCTTATAGAAGATAAATAAAATAATTCTCTCTGTAGAAAAAATACTAGCTCAAAAACAATATTTTACTAAAAAAATTTTGAATTTATTCTTTTGTATAGCTGAAAACTTGTATTATATAGTATTACATTATTTTTAGAAAACATTTTTATTATAGATTTTATTAAAAGTATACTTATTCAACATTTGAATATATAAAGCAAGATATAAAGCAAGATATATAAAACATTAAAATAGTTGATCAACAATATAAAATAAACAATAAAATTCTAAAATAAGAATCAGCTGTGATTACGTAATTGTAACAGGATAAAATGAGGAAATCAAGGATGGAAATAGAACTTTTATTAAAGGAGACCGATCAGTTTTTAGATGAAACTCAAACATTATATGAGGATTTGAAAATAAAATGTCACAATATAGGTATTGTTCTCGCAGAGTATGGCTATCATTATGAGGAACATAAAGATAGTATTCTAGTAAATGATAATAGGTATGTGATATTTTTTATCTTTATATATCATAAATATTTAAAATAAATTATATAAATTTTAAATTTTTAAACAGAAAAAATTCTTTTCATTTAGCTACCTATTGCATTTTATGTATTTTTTGTATGTTAAATTTCTTTTTATAGCTATTATAACAGATGTTAACTGAATTTTTTTACTAATTATTGCTTATCTGTAAATGAATTTGTTGGTTTTTTGTCTTTTAGAAATGATGATAAAGACTATACGGATGAAAGCATTTTAAACTCTAAAGAGTTGGAAGTTGAATTTACACCAAACTTGACATGGAAGTGTAAAGCTAAATTCAAAGAGCCAGACATGTTCACTTCAGACCAGAAAAAACCAGTTGTCAAGTCTATCGCTACTCCTGTAATTAAGCGTTTAGCATCAGTTTCCCTATCAGAAAATAATAAAAGGGAAAATTCGTTAATAAACATGGCAGTTGCACAAAAACCAAGTAAAGTCACAAAAAATTGAGAAAACAGTTAAAAAAAATAATTTCCAGTTTATATTTTTATATTTCCATTTATATATACCAGATAGAAAGGCAATATATATATATCCTTACTTATAATGATATAAAGTAACAAAAATAAGTTCGATATCTTAGCAAATAATTATTAGTGAAGTAAATAAGATATTATTACAATTATAATGTAATAAAGGAAGTATAAAGAGTTAAAAGGAGGACCCAATTAATAGGAACTTTCAATTAATATCAATAAATTATTTGCATTTATTATTCATCATATTATTTTCATTTATAGCCAGATTATATATTTAAGATCATCATATATTCATCTTTAAATGTACAGATTATTTCATGGAGTATTTGAAGATAATCTTAGGACTATTTTAAGTATAAGAATGGATTATATGAACACTAGCCTATATATCTCTGTATCTATAGAACCAAATATGAAATCCAGCTGTAGTACTTTGACAGCTTGAAGTTCGTTCGCGTTAGTAAAGAGGGCTCATGTGTTACATGCGTATTATCCGCTCGTGTTACGTGTAATTAACAAAATAAGAGTAAGGATACTGTATTATATAGAACGAAGAAGAAATATATTGGGAAATAATCAGTCTTTATTGTTTCACTCAGAATTCAAAATATTTAGACTTTCCATGGAAGGAAAATTTGTAAAATTGAGAAATAAGTTTTTTCATTTATTATAGTCAATAAAAATAATCTGAGGAAAAATATGTAATTGTATTAAATATCAAATGTACTATATATGTGAATAAAGTTATAATAAATTCATCAATGTTCCAGTAAGTTTGAGGTTAGAATTCTCTTTTGTTTTCAGTGGAATCGAGTATCACTTAATATATTTCTTTTCCGTTTCACATTGTTGGACAACATTCAGTTTTATATTTTTCTATATGTCATCAACTTTACGTGTCTTGTAGACCCTCAACCTAGGATTTGTAGCACTAGATAATTATTTTGGAAGATTCATGATGAGTACGTGAGTTATTATTGCAATATATTCTTGATATGTATATATATTTGAAATAGAACTTATATATATTTACAGAAACCGGGACCAAATTTTGCCAAAGTAAGGATATTCTTGAACGAATGAATTATTTATATCAGGTATAAATATTTATAAGAAATTATGATATAAATTGACTACTTATCATTATATGTGTTGTACAAAGAATACTAGAGATATTTTAATTCTTTGTGTCTGGTAAGAGAGAGAGAAATCAACATGTTGTTCATTGTTCTTTAATAGTTAATTTCTTTACTAATCCAATTTTTGCTTGATATAATAATATAGAAGTAATAATAACTATTGTTTTTAAAATGGACATCACTAGGCTAGTCATCTGATGGCATTAAAAAACAAGGTGATATCATCTTACTATGGAAACATGATAGTGGGTTGTGCTAGAAAAGCGGTATTACGTATGTAAGTTTACAAGCATTTTATAAGACATTTAAAAAAATATATGAGTAACTTGTAGAAAGAGTATGAATCAATGTAAATTATTAATTTTTATAGGGAACCAGATTTAAAGAGGATCTTATGTAAATGTTGCCAAACTCCACTTATACCTGGAGAAACAGCTCGAGTCAGATTAACTTCAAAGCCTGTTAAAGGCATTAAATGGACATGCTTAACTTGTATGAATATTAAACGATTTCCCACAAAAAAAGGACATAAACTGTGGCTCGACGACCCACAGGCAATAATTGAGATTCTAGATTACACACCGAGATTGAAAAAGGAAGATGTTCAACAAACAGACCCACAAAAGATATTAACTGACTTGAAAGACAAAGAATCAAAATAAATACTCTGAAAAGCATTTTGAAAATACCCATTATAAATCTTGTATCTCGCGAAAAACTCAATTATTTAATTATCGACGTGAAATAATTTAAGATAGTTGGTATACGAATATTTTTTATTAATGACTTACATAAAATATGTTACAATATTACAATAAATTTGTAATTAATAAACAGAGAGACTTTTGCGCTAACTGGTATATTCATAACCATCTAGTAATATCATGATGATACCGATAATGGTTTTACATTAAATGTTCTTAGAAATAACTTGATATCGTAAGTTTAAGTTACTGTTATTTCGAGTAGTTGCGATACATTCTTTAACGACAAGTTCGTTCGCAGAGAATTCTCGAAGGTCACAATCTCAGTTCTTAGTCGAGGACGGTTTGAATGAGGCGTTGTAGGACGCGTTTAATGCTGACACGTTGAATTCTCACGTTGAAGGCATGAGGTTCGTTCTCTATTGCTGAACTGACCGCGCTGACCCGCACCGTGACTTCCCTCTTTCTTCCACCAAATCTTAACTGTTTATCTCCCAGACAACATGTCTAAAATCAGAACATAAGATGTCTTAAAGATAATCTTTAAGACGCCTTAAAGATATTTATATGTAAATCGTCTGAAAGACATCTTAAAAATGATCTTTAAGACGTCTTATGTCCCGATTTTAGACATTATGTTGTCTGGATCTGTTTCTTTTCAAGTTCCGTGAGCGTATACCGGCTCAGCGATAAAAAGACAAACCCTAAGATCGTTTCACCGTGTGACGATGGAATTCGCTACGAATGTCATTGTTTCATCTAACTATGATATGACTATGTCCGCCCACCGCCAGTGAGACTCGTGCAAAAAATATTACGAGTTAACGAATCGTTGCACTCAGTGCCTCGGGCGCAATCAAATCACAGTTTAATCGGGAAGAGAGGATATCAGTCGTTCACGAACTCTACCTTAAACATAAATATATATACTCTAGCGAGACATACGCGGTATATAACTTAGAATAATTATACTTATTAATCTTCTGGTATGTCGGATGTTCCGTTGTGCGGCAATGGCTCGATCATTCGTTCGCCGAATATCGCAACATGGATACCGAAACGTTGGCAGTAGTCGTCGTGGAATGTGGTCGTCGTATAAGGTGCGCTCGCACACAAACGTCGAAACGAGTGTTTACAACGTACCTCGGAGGAGGAGAGAAAACGCATATACAATAATACATGTAAAAAATACTAGACTCTAACGAAGAAATATAATAGTAACAATACGTAAACTGGGCTGGACGGAATCTACACATTCACTTATATACATATATCTGTCGTGCCAAGCTTCGGTCATGTCGAGCTATCTCACAGTGCCTATTTTTTTTTATCTAGCGCGTATATTCTTTCTTTTTCTCTCTCTTTTTCTTTGTTTTCTTTTTTTGATTCTCCTAAAAAGTAGATCCAACAACAAAGTCAGACAGACGGGGACCCCAGGTTGGCAACGTACACATATATACATGCAAACACCAGCTACAGGGATTTAATTACTCCATATTAATATTGACTGTCGTTCGTCGTCACTCTTCATCTTGAGTCTTTCGCGCACAAGCTCTCTCGGCTTTAGAAGAGTTCGAACTGTGAAAGGACAAGGAGTCACACGCACAACACGCACACGTAGGGGCGGCGAGTCATCGGGTAAAATGTCATGTGTGTGTGTGTGTGTGTGTTGCTCTTCTCGTACACGCGTCTACTCGCAAGACAAACCCGACCATATTAACCCGGTTATTGTCAATGAGGTGTATGCATGCGAGTCGCCTGTTCGCTTCGCGCGCGCGCGCGTGCAATAGAAAAGAGCCGCGGACAAAGAGGTACAACGTACGGCGACGGAGTGATTGTTTAGAGATAGAAAGAGGGTAGAGGGGCAGCCTGAAGGTGTGCTCGGTGTATCGGAGAGTAGTCGATTTATACTAGCCCCGAGACGAATTGGGGTTGGCCATCGCGGTCGAGCGTGAGCTGCGGCATTACGTTCGGTGAAGGCTGGAACGTTGATCCTTGGAAACCCATTGCCGATTCGTATAACTGCCAAAGAAACGTGATATTAATTTCTTCATTTATTATATTAGTTATTAGATATTAGTTCCTTAATTTATATTAAAGAGAAGATATATTATGGTTGATGTGATATATTACGATTCAAGGAAGAAATATGACAGAAGACTCTTTTTGTCACAATGTAAAATCGTGACATAGCATTTCTCTACACTATAGAAACCTTAAGAATATAATTTCAAGTCGTTGTATGTATTTATGCTGATAATTACGTTTACATTATGAGTAGGAATTTTTTCTCTTTCTCTCTCAAACATTAAAGCTTATAGAAAACTTAGAAAACTTAGATAACTTAAAATCAGATCAGTGTTAAGTTTAATCTACAATGTGCTTTTTGTTTCCTGTTTTTTTTCCAGTTTTAGATAGATATTCTATATCCAAATATATTTTTCCTCGCATACTTTCAAGATGTAACTCGAATATAAATCATCTCGAATGTTTATGTTACGGTCGAAGTTACGAGAAAGAAATGAACTCGCTAATTTAAATGAATTGAGAGTTTGTCAGTGCAGTGAAATGCTATTGCCAATTGTAACGTTACTCGTGAAGTTTGCTTGGCGTACATTATGATTTCCAGGAAGCGTCGTGTAGTCTGGCGTGGTCGGACGATGCCTGTTCGCAGGCAATGGATGCTGTATCGTGGCATACGTGTTGTCCTGAGACGTGTCCCCCATGCCGACGCTCACGCCACTGCCGCGTCTTTCGTCGCCAAGACCGCTGTCAGGCTCGCTGAACACTTGCATCGTCAATTCTTGTTCCTCGTAGAGCTTCAATTTCCTACAATTGAAGAAGAAATGCATGACGCATTGTCACGTGTGACGGCGGTCTTCATGACGCTGGGAAAACAGTACTCACTGCTCGATCCACAAAGGGTTCTCCGTTGTATTCAACTCGTCGATGATCTGTTTCTTGATTAGGCCGTCCTTCTTACGTATATCATTCGGTACAGTAATCACCCTGAAATATACATTGGACGTTGATGTAATGTCTAGTATAAGGTATGTCAGCCCTGGTGGAAATATTTTACTGAAAATCTCTTTGAATTAACCACTTTTCATTAAAAAATCATTACGTTCATAAAAATTCATTAAAATTCCTCAACATTGATTAAAATTCAATAAAATTAATCAAAATTTATTACAATTCATTACAATTCGTAAAACTTATTGAATTGTTATATAATAATAAAATTAATTTTATGAATTTTAATAAATTTTAATGAATTTTAATAAATCTTAATAAATTTTTCTGAATTTTAATTAATTTCAATCAATCTTAAAGGATCTTAATGAATTTTAATGAAAAGAGGACAATTGAGAGAGATTTTGAGTAAATATTTAATAAAATATTTAAGTAAATATTTAATAAAATATTTAAGTAAATATTTAATAAAATATTTCTATTATAGAAGAGGATATATACTCTCAAAACGTTGAGAATACAAGTACAGTCTCGAAGCAAATAATCTGAATAATTGAATCTTGAAGCAAATATATGCAATAATTTTACGATAAAATTATTTTCCTTTGGTTTCCTTTGAAATTTGTATCATGTGATCTGGTCTACTTATATTTTCAACATTTTCTTTGAAATGTTTGTACACTTACCAGTGACGTAAGCAACAACAAACTACTGTAACGGTGACCGCTCCCACGAGCAAAACGACTAAAAGAGCTATTAGGGCAGCAAGCGCAGGGTCAAACGGTTCCTCTTGAACTCCAGCATACGCAGGCTATAACAAATTATTGAATTAGTTATTCAAGTAATTAAATTAAGAAATTATTGGGCTATGAAATTTTAATAAAATTGGATCGGTACAATTTTATTTTGCATTTATACGCATTCCTCTAAATAATTTTACCAACTTAATTTCTCCTCAATTCTTGTTATTCGTATAAATTTACAAGCGATTTGGTTTTACGTGACTTTCACAAAAGTTACTAAGTAATCACATTTTAGACATAATAATAACTTTACTTAACATACTTGTTACTTACCACAACATTCTCTATGGCAAATCCAGCGTAGTAGTGTTTCAAGAAATCGTATTTCGCGTCGATAACTTTGAGCACCTGAGGAATGGGCGCGATGGTTTGAGTTTTCGGCTCGACAACGTGCAAGTACATATCACACCTGTAAAAAACGAATCATGAGATAATGTTTAATGAATTGATGTCAATGAATATAATAGAATAATATAATATAATATAATATAATATAATATAATATAATATAATAGAAAAATGCGAAGAGGAGGGGAGATTTTATCCGCGTGTAATTACCATTCTCTGCGTATGTGTCCAGAAGCGTCAACGTGATATCTGATGTCGTCTACCACAACCCTGCTTTGTGTAGCATTGGACAATTCCGAGACGATCTCATCGCGTTCGCTATTCACCTCCTCCGGAGGTCGAGACAATATGACTCGTATTAACTGAGACGGCTCGAACACCCACACCTTAAAATGAAACGATTTATAAAGTTGCGAGTAAAGAGAGTAAATTGGGGGAAGATTGGTATTATCAACGGCTTACAACCGTACAGAACTTACATGAACTCTAGCCATCGCGTATCTTTCCGGAATAGCTGTCTCTTTGGCGATCACTTCGACGATGAATCTGTCCTGATTGTATTCCGCCATATATCCGCTTGTAACGAGTTTCCCGTCTTGCGTGACATTGAACGGGCTCGGCACTATTGAACCGCTCGGTTTATCCGATTCGTACTTGTAGAGATTCGCACCGGCGACGTAGTAATGCAGGGTGCCGTTGTCGCCGATGTCCAGGTCGGACGCGGTCACTTTGGTCACGAAATCGTTTATGTTCGCCATGGAGTTCACACCGGCGTAATAGTCGTTGCGTTCGAAAATCGGCGGATTGTCGTTCTCGTCCAGCACGACAATCGTCACGTTCGCGTGCCCGTGCTCAGGATTGCGTGTCAACGGTCGGCCGGATTGTGTAGGGTTGACGTAGAGATCAGGATCGTTGGACGCAAGAATGGAGAGAACGTACTTATCTCTCGTTTCGCGATCGAACGTTTTGTTCGCGTAAATGCTGCCGTCGGACTTGTCCATGTAAAACGCGTACCCTTCGTTCCCTGATAATTCGTTGATATATTCATAAGGATATTGTCTGATTGTATATACAGCAATATAATCTGGATCTCTCAGTTAAAATCGGAATATTTAATTCTTGAAGATTAATTTGAACGTGTCGCGATGATAATTTCGACTATGTTTGTTGAGGAACGTACAGATGTAAAAAAAGCAATTTTAGATTGTCTATATATACTCGAGTAATATATATAGTATATTCTGGAGCTTAATTGAAATAAAAAAAAAATCGTAATATAAAAATGTTGGGACATTCTGCCAACAAAGTTCCAGGAGCAGTCAGTGAGTAGTAAAATTATATTTTTCAGATAATTTCTCAGATAGAATACATTTGAACAGAGAACATTTTAACTGAAAGTTTAGTTACAAAAATATGCGATGTTAAATGTTGAAATATTGTGATAAATGATGATTGACATTTTCGTATTAGAATTTTTGACTTCAATCAAGTTCCAGAATACGCTTTTCAAAAATTGTACGATTGTTTTAAAAAATATCTGATATAAATCAGTATTATTTGTATATTTACCAGCTTCTATATAATAATAAATTTTGGCATGTCTGCCTTCATCCTTGTCCTCCGCCGTTACTTTGCCGATAAAATAATCCTTCGGACGATTCTCCGAAACGTGAAAATTGTATTCCTCGAAAAACTGCGGCACATTGTCGTTCGTATCAACTAACTGAACAGTTAATAGACGAAGAGTCTCATATGCCGTAGGACTGCCATGATCGGTTGCCACCAGAACGAGCTGAAGGATAATTCAAATAAGTCTCACGGTGCTTCTCGTTAGAAAGTTATGCATCACTCACCTCGAACTTGCTTTTGATCTCGCGATCGAGGATGATTTTTGACCGAAGTTCACCAGTCTCCTGATCTATATTGAATTCCTCGGTTTCTTGAACGTTCCTGTTGCCGACCTTCAAGTGATAGCTAACGCGACCATTCTCGCCGGGATCTCTATCGATCGCTTTCACAGTCAATATTAGATAATTCGGGACACCTGCGTTCTAAAATTTGCGAACATATCTATTAATTTCAATCAATCTTAAAGAATCTTAATGAATTTTAATGAAAAGAGGACAATTGAGACGTAATTTAATACATATATAAAATATATGTTGATTTATACATATCATCTTATCCACATCTCGCGCACGTAGTACGTTAATAAATGTATGCTCGTTGATTATATATAATTCCCATACAACACAAAAGAGTCAAAAAGCTTTTAGAAAAGTTTCAAAAACATTGAACCTTTCTGAAATTTTTCTGAAATTTTTTTCAAACTTTTGTGCTGTATGGATTATATATTACACATATATATAATTATAAAATTTATTAAAAATTTATTAACGTTTTTTTTATAAGAATTATCAGAGAAAATTAGAGATTTAGAGAGAAATGAAAAAATTTCTATGCGTTTCAATATGCGCACGTACCTCCGGCACTTCAACAGTTGCGTTCGTTAATTCCGGCATTATGAATTGCGGCTTGTGTTGATTCACGGGCGTGACTCTTACGTCGACGTAACACCTGTCCGAGTGTGGCCCATTTCCGGCGCCGTCGCGCGCTTCCACCTCGATTCTGTAAGAACCGGCTCTGCCGAGGAGGGCGGCTGCGGGGTAGAGAATTCCCGTTTCGCGGTTCAACGAAAACGACTCGTTCTCGTTCCCGTTGATGATCGTGTACCAGACCTCGCCGTTGACTCCTTCATCTTGATCCACGGCTCGTACCTTAAAAGCATCGCCAGTATATCAGTCTTGTCACGCGTAATGTAATTAAAGCACTAACTCTCCCTTAAATCAAAGAGCTTCATCGTAACTGCAAAAATTCGATAACTGTCCGCGCGATTGTCGATCGTCGCCGGGGAAGAAAATTTTAGTGGATTGTTTGTTTAAAGTGGCAAAAAAATTGGTGAAAATTTGGCAGTACCTGCAAAATGGGTGCTGGCGGGTTAACGGACAGATTTTCCGCGACCGATGCTCTGTAACTGTGTTGCGAGAATATCGGTCTGTTATCGTTCACGTCAATTAATTTGACAACCACGGGCACGGTGGTGCTACGTCGGACATTGACGTGGGCGCCGTCGCTGGCCATCACCATTATTGTGATTTCCGGCGTCATCTCTCTGTCGAGGACCGTGGCGCTGCCCACGGTGATCTCCCCGGTTTCATGTCCTGAAAATTGCATAAACACTGTACGAGTGGTAATAAACAATCGGATGTTTATGCGTGATCAATTTCATCAGATTATTTCGTCATCTTGTGCAGATGAAATTAAAGCTGCGTTCGAGGAGACGCTATTTGGCGCTAAAAGCGTGTTCTGTTCTTGTTTAATTTTCAGTAAGTAACAAGGACAGAACACGCTTTTAGCGCCAAATAGTCTCCCCGAACGCAGCTTAAGACCAAACGAGGACCTTTGAGGATAAGAGCACACGACGTACAAACGACTTCAATTGCCACGCGACTGAAAGTACACGGTGATTGATGGCGTATGTATGCATTCACCGATTCCAACTTACCAATATTAAAATCGGCAGCATGCTCGCCGATTAGATTGTAACTGACGTCGCCAAACGACCCCTCGTCGTCATCCGTGGCTTTTACGATGATAACACGAGTGCCGGGCGGAGAATTCTCCTTTATCGACGCGTTGTACTGCTCCTTCTCAAACTTCGGATCCTGGTCGTTCACGTTTATCACGGTAACGGTGACTTTCGCGGTCGCGGAAAGCTGAGGCACTCCGGAATCGTAAGCGATCACCGTGAATTCTAGTTGCTTCGTCTCCTCGTAATCGATCACTTGGCTGGTTCTCACGATTCCTGTGAACAGAAACGCAATCACACTTGGAATAAAGTCACTTTCGTTCTTTCGTGCTCCTTTGGAAAAAAGAGTTAGTAATTTAATATTTGAAAGCTGTATTATGATAAATTTTACGGTTTATTTATTAGCCAACGTTCTCGATTTGAAGATGTATAGGTGATACGCGAGGCTGTTTGATGAGACCTGTGATGAACAACTCACCGGTAATATTATCAATATTGAAGTAAGGACTCGGCGGATCGATGGCGTATCCCGCTATGTTGCTATCAGCGTCCGTCGCCGTGAAGGCGCCAACTATAGCGCCCGTGGGTTGTTCCTCTTGCATTTCTATGAGATACCGGGGATTCTCTCGAGTCCACGGCTTCAAGAATTCCGGCGCCATATGGTTCACGTCAATAATAGTGACTACTAGTTTGCCTGTTCAAGAATTATACAATAAATAATATCACAATATCTGTTTCGTAGCTCGAATGTCTTGTTTACCTCGTCCTTGTTGCAACGTGGGTGCAGTGGTGTCGCTGACAACGACCGTGACGCTCACTGTAGCTGCTATATCCCGATCAAGTGCCCGAACGACGGAAACTTGTCCGGTAGCGCGATCAACCGCGAAGAAGTCCTGCAGAAGCACAAACAAACGCATTAAAGGCTTATTGTATCATATAACTACATACTTCGATGGAAAGAGTGATCTCGCAAGAATACAAAAGGAATATTTTGATAAATAAAAATAATAGTAATTATTATTTTAGTAGATAAAAATTAGTAAGTAAGAAGAATAGTAATTTTTTAATAATAATGTAAAGGGGAGCCCCCGTCGATTGTGAGATTTTTTAAATAAAAAGTTAAATTAAATATTTTCCGCACTTTAAAAGATTTGCTGTCGTTGACTCGTTGGCCGTTTCTGTCAATAGCTGTGATTGGCTCGGAAATGGCAAAGTTCAAAGCCTCAAGGTTCGTGCTGTCCGGATCGGTGGCTTTTAATGTCGCGAAAACCGTGCCGATCGGCGTGTCCTCTGTAACTTCGGCTCGTTGTGTCTCGGGCGTAAAATATGGGGCCTTATCGTTGCTGTTTTCCACTTCGATCATCAGTGTCGTTGTTCCGGTTAGACTCGGCGTCCCTACGATAAAACATATGATTACTTTTATACAGGAAGCCCAAAACTGGCTCAATAACAATTTAGTAATAACTGTGCAGTAAGTTTACCTTTGTCAAATGCTATTACTTCTACGTGATATGTATTCTTTTCGTCGTAATCCAACTTTCTGGACACAGTGACAACACCAGTAGTCTCATTGATGGCGAAGTTGTCGAAAGCACCCTTCTGTATTCTGTACACCAGCTCTGCATTCACTCCACTGTCGGCGTCTGTCGCGGTTACTTCTTCCACAACAGTTCCTGTAAAAAAAAAATATATATATATATATATAATATGTTTTGATAAATATAATCATGATTTCATATCAAAAGATATGCACTTAGTACTGACTAAAATAAAAGTATTTAAATTGATCGACCATTACAACTTATTCTGAAACCAATCGCTATAAGTGGTAATTCAATGCATGAATTTGTTTATATATTATTTCTACGAAACATATATTTACCGGGCAAAGTATAAAGAGGGAATAAAATAATTTTACTGACTCGTTTATAACAAACTTTTTCAAATACTAAAGGATACTGCATTTTAATCCGGGATTAAACTTGCCTATTGGCGATATTTCCGGGATGCTCGCTGTGTATATGTCATGCGGGAACACGGGCGCGTTGTTGTTAACGTCACGAACGGTGATATTGACGAGCGCGGAATCTACGAATATGCCATCGCTCGCTTGTATCGTTAAGGCAATCCAATCATGAGTGGCGTTGGTCATGTCGACTGGACTCCCGTTCTTGATGGTGATCTCGCCAGTATCCGGATCAATAGCGAACAGTCCTAGTTCGTTGCCGCCCACTAGAGCATACGTGATCTTGGACGTTTTGTCCTTGTCGCGTGCTTGTACCTTCAGCTCGGGCTCGAATTTTTCGGCACCCTCGTCCACCACTGCACGATACCTGTCTTGCAGGAAACGAGGTGGACTGTCGTTCGCGTCCGTCACGGTGATGCGCAATGAAACGCTCGTCGTTTGCCCTTCCCCGTTGTCGTCTGTCGCCTACAAAAGAGAAGAGAACTTTATCAGGAAGAATCAAGGACAAATAAAGACAAATATCAGAAGACAACTTTATTCAGAATTCTTCTGCTGCCTCTGTAAAGAAATCTTGATTTTCTAAAGACGTCACCTTGCTACCTTACCTTGCCTGAGTTGATAGTTATTATTTAATGGATAGAGAAGACCGGGGCAAGATGACACACTTTTCAAACAACTAATTGTTGGGATTAACTGTACAAATATGTTAGAAACAATATTTTTTCATGTTTTTATATCAGTATAATTTTTTAAATAAGAAAATGTATGTTTTCTTAATACCCCTTAAGGAAATCTTAACTTTTCATGAAAGTAATTGTTTACTTTATTTAGATAAAAGATTTATATTTAGATAAATATGTTATTAGTAACTATCCAAAAAATATTTTCTTTTTTATGTGCTTTTTCTCTCAGTGTGTACATAAATTCATTAATTCACAGATCTGTTAAGTACCAATAAAAAACATTTCAGAGGTATCATATGAATAACTTTGTAAAAAGGAACGTAGACTATATTTCTCGCCTACTTTTAAAAAACTCACTTAATTATTTGTTAATATATTTGTGAACTTCACAAAGTGAACGATGATAAAATGTTATAGATAAAATAGTACCTTATAAGTGAGGAAGTATTCTGTCTGCTGTTCGTAATCCAGACACGGTGACATACCGGGCGTCGGGCACGGCGCAACGGTGATGGCGCCAGTTTTCCTGTCGATCGCGAAATGTTCCGCGCCCTGGCCGAGTAATTGATAGACTATGCCGGCGGTGCCGAAGCTGCGGGACAGAATTGCAATCGATGAGAGCGCGCGACGACAGGGACACGCTTCGGAGTTTAGCGCGCGGGACTACAGAGTGTAGAATTAACGAAACCTTACCGTCCGCTATCGCGATCTCTGGCCATGATCGTTATAATTGGGCTGCCCGGCGGTGCCGTCTCGGACACTGTGGACGTATACGTGGGGCTCCCAAAGGAAGGCGCGTTGTCGTTTGCATCCGTAATAGCGATAGTTACTGTCGCCGTGGATGACAGCTTTGGGCTCGTGTGAACTTCCTCGGCAACGACCTGAACACGATAATCGTGGCGGCAAGCCGCGCATTCACCTGTTATTCGCGCAAACAAGTGCCATTTCTTACATCGACTAGAACGTCCCTAAAACTTAAGATACTCTCGTGTTCTCATCAGTCGTTCAAAGCGCATCTAACGATTTCTATTGATTTTGCAAAATGTTTCGAGTGAATTTAATTATTACGTTAATTTGGTTTTCTCTCTGTGATACAATTGGAGTGCGCGTTGCGCACAAAATTCAGCACAACTACCGAAGACAGTGTTCAATGAAAATCGTTTAAGTACATTCAATCGCTTCCCCGCATTATGATCGCATTTGTTCGCGTTTGCTGAATTCGAACCTTTTCGCGCGGAATTGTCTCTTCTCTGAAAAAGGTACCGGATAATCCGATAATGTCCACGAGAAACTAATTCAAAGAGACAAGCGTAAGTGTCCTCAGTAACTTACCAGGATAATAAATTTCCGTTGATTAGGGTTTTCGTAGTCGAGCGAGCCATTCGTAACGCGAATGTTCACAGATGTGCTTCCGGTTGCCAGCACCGGTTCCACTGTGAACGCACCCGTTATATCTTCTAGTCGTAGGGAGAATACGGAGTTTAAGCCCTTAAAGTCGAAATGTCATTTTACTTTCCGCTACGCGAACGACGAAACTCCTCTCTTTCTCTCTCTTACTGTACAAGAGCAAGGCGGAAGAAAATAACGAGCAAATAACGAAAATATGACATCCAATGACTGTGATCAATACGTGCAACGATGATTATTTGGACGAAAAGCTTTTTAAATAAATTATAGCTTGAGTAAATTATCGAAAGTTTCATTACATTTACAGCTATTTATTCAAATATGATGAATAAAAAATGGAGCTTGCGATTCGTTTTGCCAATCTATATTATTAAATGCGGAAAAATCAATTTACCTCGACATCTAACTGAAGAGAAGAATTTATATTTGCCTTGATATTCAATTAATTTAGATCTACAATTCATTTTATTTGTCTTTCTAAATTTAAATTCAGATTTCAATTAGTTGAATTTAGATGTAAATTGATTAAATTTAAATCTGAATTATTTAAATTTACATTCATATTTTTCTCTTAAAATTTTATTTTATACTTGCGTTGATATTCAATTAATTTGATTAAATAAAAAATTTGCCTAATTTATCTCTAAATTAAAGATTTAAATTAGCTGTAAATTTATACATATATATATTAACTAAATTTAAATCTAAATTATTGAAATTTAGATCTAAACTTACATCTATATTTCCCGCTTCTGTGATATTATAGTTCGATATAGCTCAAATATAAGTGACAAAGATAGCCTCAAGCGATGAAAGGATTGCATTTCAGCTGAGGAGCGCGATACGTTCTAGGAGATTAATTAGCGAGCGCTCACCACATCCGGATCTTTAACCGTCATGTCTAGATGCGGTAATGGCGTGCCGTCCGGCACGTTTTCTGGGATCTCGATGTTATACTCGCGCCGATTGAACGTGGGTGGCTCGTCATTGACGTCCTTAATCGTGACGGTGGCTTCGGCCGTCGATACCGTCAGTTTATCGTTGCCGGGTATACCGTCGATCAACTCGCGGGCTTTCACAATTAGCGTGAGTACGCCCGTCGAGTTCTCTAGTGCCTCCCTGTCCAATGGCTTTGCCGTCCTCAGCTCGCCCGTATCGTCATCCAGCAAAAAATAATCGAACGGGTCTGCAAAGATAGATGTTTGACGTCGTGGTCGTCGTTGCAATCAGCGATGCAGTGGGAGCCTATTGCTGTTAGAGTTTGGTCAGGAAATTCGGGCGAAACTGCGCGATTGAACGCTCCAACTGTATCCGTGAACCCGAGAAATTGGAACAATTTAAGGCTCGATCTAAAACTTTCAGCTTCTCGAATTATTTGGCAATTTCCTGATAATAATTTTATACAAATAAGGAAGCTAATATTTGAAACATATTTATATTCTTATAGTTAAGATCCCTGATTCTTCCCCTTTCTCTCTAAATTGTAGTCACACTGAAGTCGACGTCAGAATCGATGAAAAATTAAATGGATTTTTGCATACGTTTCTTTGAATTTTTGTTTCCGTTAGCGTGCGTAGACATGGTTTAAAAATTCGAATTTGATTTGAGCATAATTTTATGTTTAATACGTGAAGTATGAAAAGAGAACACTGAGAAGAAAATATGAAAATTTATTAGTGGGGTAAAAGTTCATTTCCGTGGACTACTTGTGTTTATTTCTATGAGATAAATTTTTATCCCGTAAATAAAATTCACAGAACAATTTAATTGAAATTTTCACAGAAATAAATTTTATTTTGTAAAGAATAAACTTTATATATTTCACAAAAATAAATTTTTTCAAATTTTTTTCCTCTTAAAAATAAATTTTCAAGTGTTTCTAAAATGTATGTGTGTGTGTATGTGTGTGATTTGATAATGGAAGATGGACTCACTGGTGACCAATTCGTAGATCATCTTTCGTGGCATGCCTCTATCGCCGTCTCGGGCCTTCACGGTCATCACGAGGGTCCCAATGGGGTCGTCCTCGCGGACTACACCTGTTAGCGAATCCAGGAATTCCGGCGGACTGTTCTGAATGTCCGCCACTTTGATCTCCACGCCAGTAGTTCCATTGTTCAGGCCGTCCTGCGGGAAAAAAATTGCTTATTCCGACTGATTTGCGCGACAGCGCAGAGGATTGCATTTCCCTCCCTTTCGCTAACGCCGAGAACACGAGCTTGAACCTCTCGACGCGAGTTTCGCGATGTATTTTAACTTCGGAACGGCGCCGACGCGAATCAAAGGGTGACTGAGGTAACTAAGGTCTCCGATTTCCATCGGGGCGCCGACTGCCTTTTATCCGTAACCTTTTGAAGTAACGTAAACTCGATGGAGTTCTTTACCGGAGCTGTTGCGCGTCTATTTTAAATAATATGAGCCCCCTTCTTGAAAAACGGAGCGTTGCGATTTAAAGCCGAAGTTACATTGTATATTTCGGAACTCGCGCGCGGAATCTAAATAAAAATCGAATTGAATGGATCAAAGGAGGATCGCTGAGCAACGACGAAGTCAGCCGGTGTCATTGCCGCGCCTCGTTAGCGTGCAAATATGCATCAGTATTCGAATTTCACGGCAATCTCGGCATTACGGCTCGCGCGTCTTGCGCTACGAGTAGATTTATCCGACGCGTTGCCCAGAAACGCGAAAGCTTCTCCTCTCTACGTGCGCGCATGCAGCTTCGCCACACGTAGTCGCATAATTAAAATCAATTCTCGAGTTCTCTCCCCGCAACTACTCACGCTTGCTCGCAGCAGCAACTGGTAGAAAGGCCTCTCCCGATAGTCGAGGGGCTGCTTGAGCACCAGGGCGCCCACGTATGTATTCTGGCTCCTCTCGACTGTTTTGATGCCGAACTTCTCGCAGGCATCCAGGAACTGCAACAAAAGTTGGCCGTCACACGCTCATACGCGCCTCGAGTCACGTCCATCGCCTTGCATCGCGAACGCTTCATATTCGCGAGCGCATGGCGACGTATTATGCACGTGCGTCTCTGCACGATCGCACGTGCGATCGCTTTACGCGAACTCGCTCCGCGTGTGCAAATTAGGTGGCATCAGCGACGCGATGAATGGGCCTTTTCTGGCGAGTGTTCGCAAAATCCCCGTTAATCCTCGAGCGGCGTCGACGTTGGCGACAACCCGCGTGAAATTATCGCGAAATTTCAACGGCATTGTAATGAGACTCGCTATAAAACACATGGAGGAAATATTGTAGGAAAAAATACGACGAAATTTCGGTAATCATGGTAGTAATGAATTTTTACTACAAAATTATTGTAATTATCTTGAATGTCTTTCATATCAAGTAGGTCGTGTCAAATTTATTGTTTCTGTTGTAATTTATATTAAAATTTCACTACAGTTCAGTTTTACAAAAAATTTTAACGTAATCTTAACGTAATTTTTTTTCTTATAATATTTTCTTCGTGTATTATTGACTTTATTCTCTTGTGTTTGCACTTCAACATGTCATGTTGTCTTTGACATTAGATGTGACAACTCAGATGTCAGATAGTCGCGTTTGTTGTTAAAGAAACTTGTTAAAGAACTCGAGTTTTTTAACGAGACATATGAAAGGCACTTTTATTCCAGCATAAATAATTTATTTTCGTTATTACTTGTAAAAAAGTAGATTCGCCAAATATAAAATTGTTAGAATTTCAATTCGGTTTACAATTGATCGCCTCACGTATTAAATTTCGGTATATACAGTTGAGAAGTTTCTGAATATCTGTGAACATTTATAACTACATCTATTATCATCTATCATCTTTCGGAGCTTCCATAATGCTGCTAAATTATGAAAGTGCCAAGATCTCCCACGAGCCAAAATGTTCCTAAATTACTCTAATCCGCGAAATGAATATATGTCTAATTTATGGCGAGGTTTGCGAATATCCTGCTTGTGGGCGGTGCGCTTCCGATTATTTACCGCGTTTTCGCGCTGTTGATAAGCGGTGGATCGTTAATGGAAAATTCCGCGGCTACACTGAGCATTGTCAGGCGTAAGTCCCGCTTAATAACTGGACGAATTGCATTGTATGGCCAGCAGTCGTGTAGAGGACGAAAACGGAGCACGAAAGTTTGTTACCGTAAAGCCGCCGTGCCATTAGTTAAAAGATTTCACGGTTTTATTGGCCGCGCCTAACGGCCCCGTGGAATTTATTGAGTGGATATGACGTAGGAGGTTAGTGTTATACGTACTATAATATATAGCTGCGCCGTTTTCTCCCCGATCCGCGTGCAAAAGACGCCAAAGAAGAGAGACATGTTTGCGAAGCTTAAAATGAAGAGAAGTGCATACATCGATAACGAAAAATCGCTATACGAAATCGCGTGGCGTTTGCTCCAAGTCTCATTACTGAGAAATAAATACTTACAAGATTCACCTGTAGGATATAAAGTTAATTTCTGCGAATGTAAACCTTATATCGCGCAAATAAATTTTCAAGTATTTTTTTCTCAGTGTAGTAATGACAACTACACTGAGAGAAAATTACCTAAAAATCAACAAATATTCCTTTGATGAGTGCCATTAACATATTTATTTAAATCTAAATTCTCTTTATTTAAACCAAATATTGTTTATTTAAATCAGGTAAACAATATTTGATTTAAATAAAGAGAATTTAGATTTAAGTAAATATATTAATGGCACCCATCAAAGAAATATTTGTTGATTTTTAGATAATTTTTCTCTCAGTGTATACGTTTCGTTTTATAGGATCAATGTATACGGTTTGATAAACTATTTTGTGATTATTGCGACTAAAGCCGAATGTAAATATTTAAGAGGACGCGTAAGAGCTAAGTGCTAGGAGGATGTGCGCGAAAAATCACAAGTGTAAAATTTATGAAGTGTAAATATATGATGGTGAAATATATAGTTATCACCCTATACAGTTACCACCAACATGTGTTTTTCTCTGAAGTATGAACCGCGGACAGATTGCTCGAAACAATTCAGTAAACACCGGCTAACAGTAACATATATCCCACCCACGTTATGATTTCCCACTCAGTAAGTGCAACATGACATATGTACATAACATATGTAGTAGTTTCATCGGGTGGAGTGCGAAATTATGACATTCGTGTAATGTTAATTGATGTTTACCAAGCAACAATGAAACCAAAGTGTCATTTTGTGCACGCATGTGTGCGCGCGCAGTTCGTCCGAAATGTTCCTCCGGGAGCCTCCATCGCACAGTGGGGACAAATAGAAATTTACTGTTCAAAAATCGCTAGAGGCCACAATTTTACAGCAATTGGGATGCACTTTTTTTAAATTAAACGTTAATCAATGTAGAAAAAAACTGTCGAGCCCGATTTTTTTTAAATTCTTCTAAATGTTGCAATATTAATAAGAATTTGTAAAAAAATTATCAAGTTTCATGAACCACTCCAATTGGAAAACTTTCCATCTTTTCGTTGCATAGTACAGTATACTAAGATTAAACGTCGCTGATTACGAATCTGATACAAAAATCAGAATTTGGCAGTTGACAATTGCTAATCTCCTGTCAACATAAACAAAATCACTATGCTTTAACACAGTATATGTGTTGCAATAGGATATACAAAGTCGTTCAACATAAATGTAAAGTCAGTACTAAGATCTGGTATTTAACAGCTGTCTGTCAATCCCATAGTCGATATGAAAAAAATGTTTCTGTAGCACGAAATGTGTCACTGTAAGGTATATTAGGTTTAGGTTGCTGAATACGAACTTAATTCTTATTAATATTGCAACGTTTAGAAGAATTAAAAAAAAATCGGGCTCGGCAGTTTTTTCTATATTGATTAACGTTTAATTAAAAAAAAAAAAAAAATCATCCCTATTGCTATGAAATTGTGGTCTCTAGCGATTTTTGAACAGTAAATTTCTATTTGTCCCCACTGTACGTCGGTGAGGGGGAGGAGGAGGAGGAGGAGGAGGAGAAGGGAAAGTGAGATATTCGGTGCGCAACCACGTAAAAATATCTTTCACGGAACATTACCGCGCCAACGTGTATTAACGACTCACCTGTGGCTGCGGGACACACGTTAGATCTATGATGTCGCCCAATAGGTCAGGGTCCATGACTCTAATACCAGGCAGTATAGTGGAGCCGACCGGGGTGTCCTCTTCCGCCACAGCCTCGTACGGCACCCCGAGGAAGTGAGGCGGATTGTCGTTCTCGTCCAGCACGATCACATATGCGTCCACGCCGACGATGTTGGGCTGCTGTCCCGCGGGCACCTCGTCCTCCAGAGTCACCCGGAAGCGTATCGTGTCGTTCTCCTGATCATGCAGACACAATGAAGAGAAACACGGTTAATATCGTTGCACGAACGCGCTTCTTGCAGAAGCGTCGCGCGCTGAGAGAAATTATTCGGTAAGAAATTAACAAGCGGATATCTCCGATCAAAATGAATTTTTGTATCCAATTAGGAAATGAATTATTTCTCATCGGATGTTCCCTGGTCGGATATAAAATTTCATCGGTATTTTGATTGGAAAAATCCACTTGTTAGTTTTTTATCGGGTGATTTTTCTCAGTGTAGGCAGGATTAATGTTTGGCGCACTACTTCTTTGACTTTATATTTCTTTTTTCTTTCCGTAATTAACGCGAAAGCTTCAGAGAACATAAACATATCGTGTCGTGTCGAGAATTTGTAAATATATTGAGAATTTTCCTGCCTTGCTTTCAACGATATATCTCTTGATGGGCTTATAGCTCTGTCTCTCATTTCGTAGCTCTTGATGGGTTAAATAAATTGTGCTGGTTATTAAGCCAGCGGAATTGAGTCAGCGCGACATGGAACGTCAATTTTGCACTTCGCGTCTCAATTTGTCTCACTGGAGTATTAATTTTCTCCTGACCGATTTTACGAGATTATAGTTGTATTTTTGTATATAGAGATTTATAGTTATATTTTATTCGCAGCGTTCTCTTTGCACAGGAATTAAAAAAAATTATTTCGCAAAAATAATGTGATCAAAATAAATTAAAAATATATGACATTTTCTAGAAAATCAAATAACAATTACGTCGATTAACGAACCCAGCAGTACAGTGGTTTTGATTTGAAGATATTTGGCAATGGGGCAAAATTCATATATGATCTTTCTTTCCCGAGACAGGAAGACAGTTAACGTCAGCGCCGAAGACCACGGTCGACACGCTTTATTAATACACGCAGATATAAAAAGCGACACGATATTTCTGGTGGAAGCTCGTTAGCTCTGTTTTGGAAGAGACAGGGATATGAATCTCCCGTTAATCCCATAATAGGATCAAGCCTAATCCAATAAACTTGATGGATACTGCGTTTCCGCAGCCAACGTTGAACGCACTTCATCATGGCGGCGAGCGGACGCGCGTCGCGTCTTAATTTTTGCGCCATTTGTGTTCCCCGTTGCTCATTACACGTCGTTAATGATTCACCGTGCTCGGAGAGCCTTACTTGTATCCTCTACCATCGGCGCGCATGGAATCACGATCGCGACGAGGGGAACTTTGAGGGCGAAAAACGCCACTCTCGTTAGCCGTTACATTGTAAGCAGCGGGATCACGGGTGCAATCCGCGAAACAAAAATCAGCTCGCGGCTATTCAGACGTGCGTACAGTCTGTCAGACTGTGACGAGCGGGATCGCGTTTTCTGATTCCGCGTTTTTGCGAATTTTCAATAGAGGGACAGCTGGACGGACAGATCCCGCAAATCCTTGTCTTCGGCGGCGAATAAATCGCGTAACGAGACGGCGCGAGCTGTAACGCGAGCCGATTACTAATTACAAGAGCCAATGGCCGGGCCGTTGAGCGAGCAGACAGAGGAGGGACGGGGGATGGATTTTTAATGCGAGCGGGATTGAATGCAGGTTGCAGCCGCGGGTTACATGTAGTGTGCTCGCCTAGCTTTCAGCGGCGCCAACATTGTGGTACCTACGTGCCACACGCTCGTCAGCCAATTATCACGTGCATTTGCGCTCTTATCGATGCGCAAGCGGAAAGGCGCCGCGCATGGGCTCGCCCGCGGACGGATGTGTCCGATTTTGCATAAAGCCGCCGGCCACTTCCGCATTGTGACGCTGCAATACGCGGGTAATTGCCGGTAATTGCGCGAATAATTGGGCGAGGGAAATTTTTCGAAGATGCAATTTTCGAGCGCTCGAATTGACCTATTTAGCATATGTTTCTTTTTTTTCAACTAGTGTGGAGTTATTCTTTTTCTTACTATCTCCAGCTTGATCTTGTCGTATGTTTTCACAGTTCACACACGCCGACGAGGGCGAAGGAAATTTTTCTAAGGTTGAATATCGAGCGTTTATATTGATCCATTTGGTGTATGTTTCTTTTTTTCTAATTAAAGTTGAATTTTTTTATTATCTCCAGCCTGATCTTATCGTATGTTTTCACAGTTTATACACGCACCCACGAGGACGGAGAAAATTTTTCTAAGGTTGAATATCGAGCGTTCATATTGATCCATTTGGTGTATTTCTTTTTTCTAATTAAAGTTGAATTTTTTTATTACCTCCAGCCTGATCTTATCGTATGTTTTCACAGTTTATACACGCATCCATGAGGACGGAGAAAATTTTTCTAAGGTTGAATATCGAGCGTTCATATTGATCCATTTGGTGTATTTCTTTTTTTCTAATTAAAGTTGAATTTTTTTATTATCTCCAGCCTGATTTTATCATATGTTTTCACAGTTTATACACCCACGAGGACGGAGAAAATTTTTCTAAGGTTGAATATCGAGCGTTCATATTGATCCATTTGGTGTATTTCTTTTTTTCTAATTAAAGTTGAATTTTTTTATTATCTCCAGCCTGATTTTATCATATGTTTTCACAGTTTATACACCCACGAGGACGGAGAAAATTTTTCTAAGGTTGAATATCGAGCGTTCATATTGATCCATTTGGTGTATTTCTTTTTTTCTAATTAAAGTTGAATTTTTTTATTATCTCCAGCCTGATTTTATCATATGTTTTCACAGTTTATACACCCACGAGGACGGAGAAAATTTTTCTAAGGTTGAATATCGAGCGTTCATATTGATCCATTTGGTGTATTTCTTTTTTTCTAATTACAGTTGAATTTTTTTACTATCTCCAGCCTGTTCTTGTCGTATGTCGTCTGCACAGTTTACACACGCGCGCCCACGACCAAATAGTTAAAAGTTCGAATTTTTCTACAGAATGGTACGATTCGAATTCGGCAGTGTCGGCTGGCGATGAGCCGCAATTCGTATCGCGGGCATGTCGGTTGCACCGGCACCGAAATAAAAGCGGTAGGTGGGCGGAAGAGAGGAAGAGAGCTTCCCGTTGCAACCCGCGCGCCCCTTTGTCCGACAGATCGCGATGTTGCGCACGTAGCCGCGATACACGGCGCCCCTAAAGACGAAGCTTCTCCTCACCCCCGGGGCGGAAGAATAGTGGTAGTGCTTAGTGATGGTGGCGGCATTGTGTCGTCCGAAAGTAGCTGCCCGTGCTCGTCTGCAACCGACAGGAAACCCAAGAATACCGGCAGAATTATCTGGCGAACTGGAGGACGAAAAGACGGCGAGGGGAGGGCCGGGAAAACGAAAGATATGTTGTGTGACCGCGCCACTTCCGAAAAGATAGAAAAGCCGTTATGGTTGTAGTTGTATTTTCGCAGAACTCTCCCCCGTCTATCCCTCTTCTTCCCAACTTCTCCCCCACTCCGTGAACGACCAGATAAAACTATACGGGAAGAGAGGAAGAGTATGTCTGTGCAGATATTTTTTCAACTATGGAGTTTATAGTACTTTATTAACGTAGGCCGGAGAAAAACAGAGTAAGAGAGAAAGAGAAGAGAGAGGGAGAAAGGGAAAGAAGGAGGAGAAGAAGAGTTTTGCGCTCGAGAAACAAATAAAGATAACAATTATCTCACAATATGTCTAATTGTCATCTCCTCGATATATAACTGTTTCAAGTGCTTGAAACTAGAGACTTTCAAGGTTTTGTTATTGTAGTTATCATTATAATAATACATTGAGAGAAAAGATATCTAAGAAATAAAGAGACGTTTATTACTCAGGATAATAATCTTGCAAGAATAAATTAAGATCAAAGTCATTGCAGGTTCGGTAATCGAAATCATTTAAATTTCTCAGAATGTCAGGTTTCTTAGTTTTACTTCCATCACTTTTGTATTTCTACGAACTAAATTTTTTTATACTCTTTTTTGAATTGCTCAAAAGATATATTCGATGACTATTAATAAATATATTAATTTTTACACCAATATAAAATATCTTTCAAATAAGAAAAAAATTAGTATCCAATAAATATTTTATATTTTTTAGATATTTTTCTTTCAGGACGATTAATATTATTTATTTTCTCCCTCTGTTTTTGTCGATCTGGTCACGTATCAGTCAATCAATCGATTTATCTATCTGTCTGTTCATTTAACTTTTCATTCATTTATGTTTAAGATAAGGAAGTCAACAGAAATTTTCGTTGGTGCAGAGTTGAATCACAAATAGGTGTGAAATAAAGGATGGACGACATACAGGGACGGTCGCAGGTTACTTGTAACATCGCGATGCGCATCTCTAACGAGAATACATTTGCGGGGCACGTCGGTGGTCGTATCTACTGGGTGTTCCAGTTTCGTCTCCGCAACGTTCGTGGGAACGTAGAATGGATTGAGGTGAGCACAAAATCTCATACCGTTTTGCTATATTCGCGATAGATCTCAAGATATTAATTGCAGAAGATGGATGAACGATAATGCGCGATACGGCTCTCCTCGTGTAGAGAATTTCCTCTCAAAGCAAGAGGAATAAATCTTATGTTTGGAATATTTTACACTTGCTGTCTATTGTAGAGGATTTTTCTAAGAACAAGAGTATCAATTTTTCAGTGTATCGCGCGTGATTATTCACCGACCTTCTTTAACCTTCTACCTGTGCTCTGGGTCTTTTTTGAGCAGTTTCAAAGTTCACACAGTTTTTGTAATATTCTAAGTACAAATGTGGTACTTCGCGACTTTTCGAGTTATTTTAGGAAAAGTCAGTACATAAACTCAGTACTAAGTTACTTTATATAATGCTAAAATAAAAGAAATAAAAAGATACATATATATCAATTAAATAGTAAGTTCTCATCATTGGGTCTATTTAGATCCTGAACATGGTTAAATTATACCCGAAACGAACACAGTTAGAAGGTTAATTAACCCTTATTGTGCACACTTCAATATAATCACATAATGGGCATACTGGGGTCTTTCGCGACCCCAGCTACAAAAATGTTTGCTAC